TCTCTATCCTATCCCTTTCCGCCTCCCGCGTGGTTCCCCTCCACCCACCAGAGAGAGTGTGCGCTGGGAAAAGGGGCCAACCACAGCCAACAGATTCTGGGTGTTCTGGGCAAGATTCAGTCCTGAATTCCCCTTTTGCTGAGTCCTCCTGGGCCCGCCTCAGGCAGCTGGATGTAGTGCTAGCACCCACCAGTAGAGGGAACCAACCTCATACTTTCCCTCCCCTTTTTCTGAGCCTTAGGGGTCCCAGGTCTGTGGGGACAAAGAACCCAGACTCAAGGTATTGCCCGAGCTCCTTCGACCTGCAGCAGAGATACAAGCCAAGAAACAGAATTCCTGGGAACAGGCACGGACCACAAGCTCTTCCTCCCATAGCCCTGAAACCGTCAGAGAATCTCAAAGTTGGAAGAGCTCCTGAAGGTGTGAGTCTCCTCCCCAGCTTTGGAACTCAGAACACATCACGCCGAAGGATGCCCTATGCAGCCGTGGAAGCCCATCCTCCTTTGTCTCCTCCTCCTTTCCAGATCTGTGTAGAGCTTATCCAGTTGCAAAGGGCCTGCCCGTGCATTCTCACATCTGACCTGCCACTTGTCTTGTGAAGGAGCTATTGTGATCATCCCATTTCACAGATCAAGAGACTGAGGCTCCGAGAGACTGACTTGCATGAGCTACCTCAGCCAGGGCAGCAGAACTCCACAAGCTTGCTCTTCCCACATCGTGTCCTTCAAAGTCCTTTCTCCAGGCCGGGCAAGGAGGCTTACACGTGTATTCCCAGCATTTTGGGAGGCTGAGGTGGGTGGATCACTTGAGGTCAGGAGTTCAAGACCAGACTGGTCAACATGGCAAAACTGCATCTCTACTAAAAATACAAAAATTAGCTGGGCATGGTGGTGCATACCTGTAATCTCAGCTACTTGGGAGTGCTGATGCAGAGAATCCCTTGAACCGAAGAGGCAGAGGTTGCACTGAGGCAAGATTGTGCCACTGCACCCCAGCCTGGGAGACAGTCCAGAAGTCCATCTCAAAAAAAAAATAAAAAAGCAAAAGAAAAAGAAACAGAGTCCTTTCTCCAGAACAGGCAGTGTGGTGCTACTCAGTTTAGTTAGTTGAGCTGCTTCTGCCTCCTCCTCCTCCTCCTCTTCCTCTTCTTTCTTCTTCTTCTGAGATGGAGCCTCATTCTGTCACCGAGGTTGGAGTGCAGTGGCATGATCTTGGCTCACTGCAACCTCTGCCTTCTGGGTTCAGGTGATTCTCCCGCCTTAGCCTCTTGAGTACCTAGGATTACATGCACCTACCACTATGCCGGGCTAATTTTTGTACTTTTTTAGTAGAGACGGGGTTTCACCATGTTGGCCAGCCTGGTCTCAAACGCCCCATGACTTCAGGTGATCTGCCCGCCTTGGCCTCCCAAAGTACTGAGATTACAGGCACGATCCACCACTCCCAGTGCAGCTATTTCAGCTTCTAAATTTCTCTGAGTCCAGGGATCTTGCCCCCAACACAAGCAGCCCTTTGCCTCATTTTGTCCTTCTATAAGGGGCAGATTGTTCTCCCTCAATTCCCAGATGAGAATGGCCCAGTGGCACGGGGTGCCTTGTGGAAACCTCACAGCAGAACAAGGCAAAGGCAGAGAAGGCCCGGACGGAGCCTCCTGTCCCCTGGTGCCCAGGGTTGGGGCTATTTCAATATCATCTGAAGGTCATAAGCATCGGATGCCCCCAGAGATGGTAGCAGGAAAGAACACGCTCTCCTGCCCTGAAATCTTCCACCCCTGAGTTTAAGGGCATGCAGCTCGCAACACTGTAGAAACACAAGCAAGCAAACAAGCAAACGCTTCCAGAAGTGGTTGGCAGTGGTGTTGCCAACCAACATTGAAAACCCACACCCCTGTGGTCTAGGATGTGAATGCTGTGAATGTCAACTCTCCCCATTCCTAAGTCCCTGCCACCTCCCCCTGTTCAGAGCAGAAGACGAAGCTCATTTTCTGCCACCATTCCTGAAGCATAACCCGACCAGCAACCCGGACTCATCATGTGCTGGGAGGGCACTGGGATGTGGGCTGTTATCCAGGCACGTCAATGGGAGGATCTGAGAGGGATGTCATCAATGATACCAGCTCTGAGAAACATGGGGTCACCAGAAGGGTGGAGACAGGACTTACCCCTGCTCCTTCCAGCGCCATCAAAAAGGAGGAGCCAGGTTGGAATGGAAGAGGGTCCCTGAGCTCCACGTAGCTTTCTGCATCCCCCACCATCCTTCCTCCAATGTCAACCGGAAGGTGAGCCCCCATGACAGGGCTTCTTAGCCAGTGAAGGGGACTTAGACATGGACTGTGAGTTCTGCAGGTGGTGCTGGTTCCCACCCCTGTCCGCTGCATCTTCCTAAGGGAAGCGAGTATCAGCTGGGATTTATCCCTTCTCATCCAGTCCTCATTGCTTATGTCGTTATCTATCTGGCACCTGTAGGCACTTCATTTGCAACCCCAAATAAAATGTCTCTTCCACTTCCCTTGCCCTAGTTCAGATCCTAAAACCTCTGGTTCTCTAGGTTTAAAATCATTTTTACATTGTTCTCATTTTCCAAGGGTAGTTGGGCTTAAGGAATATTCATCTTAAAATTCTTCTGCACACAAGGAATTCCATGACATTGTTTTCTCACGTTTTGGGGAATTTTTGCCTCTGCACTTAATAGCCTGTCTTGTTTTCATTTCTTCTCACTCCTGGTGGGCTAGGTTTGGTGGTGCTGGTGATAGTCGGAGAGGAAGAAATGCTTTCAAGTCATCTCTGGGATGACCGGCGAGCTGAGACCAAAGCTGGGAGCACTGATCTGGTGGAGTGGCCTCAGTAACAGACAGCAGTCATGTGCCAGCTTCCTTCTGGCCCAGGAAGAGTCACGTCCATTATGTTTCAGGCGCCTGGCCCCCAATAGGCCCTGCAGGCCCTGCAGGTTGTCTTCCCAACCTGCCCCTTTCTCCATACCCCCACCCCACCCCATAATATTAGAGAAGGCGCTTAGACAAAATGACGCAACTTAATTTTATTAGGACAGGGCTGGTGGACACTGGAGTGCCACCTTTCGGGGCCAGGAGAGGCACTGGGGAGGGGTCTCAGGGATGCCACCTGGTAGCTAGAGGCCACAGCTGCCCTCCACAGAGCGGCACTGCACAATGCGCAGGAACATCTCAACCTTGTCCATGTCTCTCCAGAAGCAGTAGAGCAGCCCGTAGTTCTTGAGCAATGCGTCATCCCTCTACAAGTTGATGTCAAACTACCTGTAGGTCTGCCTGGAGATCTCCCCAGTCTGGGGGCTGCCATCTTCCAGCCTCTGCAAAATGAAGGAAGAGAAGGAGAGGCCAAGCGCTTGGACACTCTTCCCTCCCTCTCTCACTCATTCTTTCTCCTCCCTCTCTCACTCATTCTTTCTCCTCCCTCCCCTCCAAGGCTCCAAGGTGTAGAGAAAGGGCTGGAGGATTCACGAGTGGAAGTGAAGAATAAGCTGAGTTCTCCTGGGTCAGAGCCTGACTGCTAAAAAGAGAGCAGCAGTGTTTCTTTCTCCCAGCTCTGGAAGCCAGTGGGGACCCAGGATTGGAGACTCCTGGTGCCACCCTCACCCCCATCGGAGTTTGGATGCCTTCCTCTAGGTCCTTCAGGTACTCATAGATGAAGCTGTCTAAGAAACTATGCAGCTGGCTGCTGGCAAAGACACTGTTGAAGAACTGCACGGGCTTGAGCCACAACTGAATGAGCAGCAGGGAGTTTTGGAGCAGCTCTAGGTTCTGCAGGGGAAAGACCAGCAGTGAGTGTGCTGTCCGGGGGCTCTGACCACAGGCCTCCCCCATCGCTGGCTGGTGGAGAGGGTGGCCACTAACAAATTTCTGTAGAGTTTCCTTTCTGTTAGTGGGTGTTGCGGCAGACAATGAGAAGCAAAGGGAGATCCTGGTGTTATGCCGGAAGAAATCCTTCTTTTCCTTCGGGCTATGAGCTTCTTCCTAGGAGAAGCAGTGCCCGTCAATATCTGTGCTGGTGACCAGCTCCCATTGTTCCTTTTCTGGGACCTCACTCAGTGTATGCTCATCTGCCTGCATCTTCGATTCAGAAAACAATCCTGAGCTCCTTCATCTCCTCCCATTACTTCCCAGCAAGTCAAAGTCGCCCCTCCCCGCCCACCCTGACATGCATGCATTTATCAAGAGCTTACAAACTTCTGGTAGATGTCAAAGGCCAGCTGGTTCAGGCGATGGGCGCGGATCATCGCATAGTCATAAAGCAAGGATACGGGAATTGGTGGGAAGGCACTGGCCTCTCGAAGCCAGGGCAGGCAGAGCAGGGTGAAAGTCGGGAGCAGGGGTGCCCGGGAGACTAGGGAGAAACCAGAGGGCCTGGGAGGGAGCCAGAAAGCCAGAAGGCAGTGCTCTTGCTCAGGGACATATAATGCCGAAAGGGATTTTAGGGACCCTTACCTGCAGCCATTGCAGCTAGGTGAGCTGTCCACAGGACTCTCCATGGTTTGGGGAGCTGGGCCTTGGGACCCTGGAGCTGGCCTTTTGTGGGCCCTTTTATACCCTGTCCCCTTCTCTCTCCATGCTGGTCCCCACCTGTTTCCATGTATGTTTGGGCAAGGGAGGGTCACAGACATGCCTGTGTTAGTGGATAATTTAGAAGCTTCTTCCACACATGCTGGTATCATGCCCCCTGGGTTGTCATTTTTCCCTTTCCACCGTCACTAGCACTGTGAGGGTTGTACCCAAGAGGCACCACCCATCCTGGCCTCTCTTTAAGGGGCAGGTGGG